AAAAGAATCAGAGGCTGTCAAGATGACAAAGAGGCAGTTAGACCTGGAGGTGATTATTATTTCTCTTGTCTGTTTAAGTATTTTTTTTTTTAAACATTATCATCGTGATGATTGATTATTCTGTGGAGAGCTCCTGAGAAGCTCTCCACAGAATAATGAGAAGAGAGCACAGGGCCTGAAATGATTAGGAAAATTCCTCTGGAGGCACTTCCACCCCTAGGTGGTGAGGCAGCATGTTAGGTTGTGGTTAGAAATCTTTCAGACCCTCATCTCACTTGCTAGCCCTGGAGTCTCGTGAGTTCCTTCAGGCCTACCTTCTTGGCTGCAGGATAGGGATGAACAGCATCTGATTTGTGTCTGATGGAGGTGACTAAATCATTGACCACACAAAATACAGTCAGAGCTATCATGACTGAGATATAAGGTGTCCCCCCAAAGCTCCTATGTTAAAGCAGGAATGTTCAGGAAAGCTCAGAGGTGAAATAATTGGATCATGAGGGTGGAACTTAATTCAAGGGGGCTGGGGTTGTGGCTCAGTGGTAGAGTGGGATGAATGGTGACTGTGGGCAGGTAGGGTATGGCTGGAGGAGGTAGGTCATTGGGGTCATGCTCTGGATGGGTTCATCTTCTTTGTGGCCCCTTCTCCTGTGTCTCTTTGCCTCCTGGCTGCTATGTCCTGAGCAGCTTCCCTTTGCCACACCCTTTGGCCATAATGTGCAGCCTCACCTTGGGCCCAGAGAATGGACTCAACTAACCACAGACTAAAAGCTCTGAACCATGAGCCAAAATAAACTTTCCCTTCTTTAAGTTGTTCTTGTTAGATATTTGGTCACAGAGATGAAAAACTGACTAAAATAAGAGGCATGCCTGGCATACAAGTAAACGTAATAAATACAAGCCACTGTAATTTCAACTTAAACCAAAAGGTATGTGCAAGTATGTTTGCCTGTTGCCGTAGTCTGAATGTGTACCTCAAAGTTCATGGACTGGAAGCTTAATTCACAATGCAACAGCTTTGGGGGGTGGGGCCTAATAAGAGGTGATTAGAGGGCTGGGGATGTGGCTCAAGCGGTAGCACGCTTGCCTGGCATGTGTACGGCCCGGGTTCGATCCTCAGCACCACATACAAACAAAGATGTTGTGTCCGCCGATAACTAAAAAATAAATATTAAAAAAAAAAAAGAGGTGATTAGATCCCCTCATGAATGGATTAATGTCATTATCATGGGAGTGGGTGAGTTATCCTGAGGCAGTTGTTTTAAAAGTATTTGGCCTCCTCTTGCCCTCTCATAACATTTTCTTGTCCTTCTTCTTTCTACCATGAGATGATGTGACATAAAGACCCTCACCAGATACCAGTGCCAGACTCTTGGACTTGCAAAGTTACAGAAACTTGATCCAGATAATCTCAGGTATTGTTACAGCAGCATGCCCCTGGTTTTCAAAGTGGATCCAGTTGCTTCAAATATTCCTCAGACTTGTGGTCTCCAAACAAGTTTCATAAATACAGCTCTGCCAGAAACTGCTCATCCTCAAAGTTCCAACCTCAGTCTACGACTGACACTGCTATAATTGTGAATGCCTCTGAAAGTTCCTTTTTTGGATTGCTTCATTAAAGTCAGCCCAGATTTGACCCCAAAAGGGTATTAGCCCAGTTTAAACATCACCTTTGCCTTCCAATGACTCTGAAATGGTTCTGAAAATTAAATTCATCCGAAAAAATGATTGCACCTTGGAGTATGCTCTAAGCAAGTGCTTAGAGCACTTAAAGCATTGTGAAAACTAAAACCATAGTAAGTCCACTTGATTAACTTTTTTTTCTTTTGTGGTATTCGGAGGGTGGAATCCTGAGGCAAGTGCTCTAACCCGGAGCCATATCCCAGGCCCTGGTCAAATTTTTGTTGTTATTTTGTACTGGGGATTGAACCTAGGAGCACACTACCATTCAGCCACATTCCCAGGCCGCACCCGCCCCCACCCCGCCCGTGCCCGCTTTTAAAAATTTTATTTTGAGACAGGGTCTTACTAAGTTGCTTAGAGTCTTGATAAGTTATTGAGGCTGACCTTGAACTTGTAATTCTCCTGCCTCAGTCTCTTGAGTTGTTGTGATTACAGGCATGTGCTCTGGTTAACTTTTAAAACTATACTAGCAAGGAAGCTTTTCTACTTATGACAGAAACCCAGTAAATCACTAAATAAATTTGTAATTGATTTACAATAAAATTTGAATAAAATCAACTTAAATAAAAATAGTAATATTACACACTGAAAAAATACCACAAAGTAATGAAGTAGAAAAAAAACATATTCATGCATATTCATCCGCATTCTATCTCAATGGGCTAATTTCCTTTAAATATATATAGATCTAAAGTCAATAAGAAAATGGCCACAATCTTAGAAAAATGGAGAAGGAACACAAACAGATGCTTCAAAAAAGAGAATCAACTGGCTCTTAGACAAACAAGTTGAATTAGTCTGGGTGTGGTGTTGCATGCCTACTATCTCAGTGTCTGAGACAGGAGGATTTGCAAGTTGAAGGTCAGCTTCTGCAACTTAGTGAGATCCTGTCTCAAAAACTAAAAAGGACTGGAGATATAGGTCAGTGATAAAGTACTCCTGGGTTCAATCTCCACTATTGCTAAATCAATCAATCAATCAATCAATCAATCAATGCATATTAAAACTACCAGTCACCATTTTGTCATGAGGGTGCCCAGAAGCCAGCACCAATTCTTGCAGATGGGATGGGATGTTGATGTCTAATGAAAATACTCATGACCTTGGATCTGGCAATGTCAGAATGGCTCATGTGTATGGACATGGGACTAGAAACAATTTGATGCTGTGAGGTCCTATTATTTATACACAGGAATGCCACCAACCACTGTAAGACTAAGGCAACTTAGTATGTGACATATGTGCCTGAGCTGCCATTTCAAGTGGGAACAGAGCAGAAAAGGGCATGTAGGCAGCAGGTGTGTGGGATGCACCAGGCAGACCTAAGATACAGTGCACATGTATTCTGGGAGGGCACAACTTTTACTGTATCCCTGGTTGTTTTGTGTCATGACACATACATTACTATTTTTAGAAATCAAGAGCCTCCTTTATTATCACAAAAGACACTCGATGAAATGACTTGCATATTTTGCTGAGCCCAAAAATATTCCATGACTTATTTGTTACTCTTCTGGGAAACTTCCAGTTGTTTACCCTTTTTCAGGAGTGAGGTCACTAACCCTCTTTAAATGGACCAAATCAATTTTTGCTTTACCTTCATGCATTTTTGATGCTTTGCCTCCAGAGTTCTTTAAATATTCAGACCATTAGATATTATGGAAGGAAAAGGCACTGGTGGAAACCCTGCCAAAGCGGGGGGCTGTGCAGAGGACAGGTTTTTTCATGCCCTCCTCAGTGAAAGCTTACTGGAGCTGGCCCCGGTGTTGGGGAGCATCTTTCTTACTTTCTTTTCTGGCCTGTATCACCAATTGGCCAGACCTCTTCCCTAAGGAATAATTTTGGAGAGTCCTAGGGGTAGAGGACAGCTGGCTCTGGTTTTGTTCATGTCCTAGGGTCTCCCTTCTGCCTCTGGAGTTGGAGTCCCACATACCACACTCTGTTGGGTGAGCTCGCTCCCACCCTTTTCCAAGTGTTCTGCAAGTGAAGGGCTGTTCAAACATTGGATAAGTTTTTCACTGGCTCCCTCTCCTGCTCTGGCCCACTGAAGTTCCGGCTCTGGGAGCTGAGGAGTGAAATTTCCCTTGTGGTCTACAGAGCCCTTTCCTTTTCTGCACAGGGCTCTGCCAAATGGCTTGTTCAGCATCTGCAGCCCTGTGTGTGTGTGTGTGTGTGTGTGTGTTTGTGTGTGTGTGGGGGGGTCTAATGAGTCAGACCTGTCATCCCCTCATAGGCAGATTGGGGAGCTGTGAGCACTCCAGATGTGGGGTGGGCTGCAGTTCTCTCCCTGGCATGCAACTTCTTTGGGATTGTACCAGACTCAAGTCAGATCTTTGCTAAGCATAGAGTGACATGGGGTCCTAGTACTTGCCAGAGGAACTGAAGTTTCCAGAACTTTCTCTGGTGTAATGGTTAATTTGAATTGTCAACTTGATTGGATTAAGAGATAATGATGACTAAGAGGCTTCTGTGTGTGTCAAGGAATGATTGGCATGTGGGATAGCCAACTGAAGTGGAGACCCTCCCTAAGCGTGGACAGCACTGGATGATGGCTTGGGTAGAATAAATGTTGGAAGAACAAGGGGCTGGGGTTGTGGCTCAGTGGTAGAGCACTTGCCTAGCATGTGTGAGGCACTGGGTTCGATTCTAGTACCACATATAAATAAATAAAAGTAAAGTTCCATTGGCAATTTAAAAAATATTTTTTAAAAAGTTGGAAGAACAAGCAAGCAGCAGCAGATGCAAGCTCAATTTCTTCTAGAACGGGTTCTTGATTGCTGCTATGATCATCTGAAATTATCTGACTCTTGCTTCTTCACTCTTTCAAAGCTGACTCTGCCAGTGATTCCCTTGGGAATTTGACCAGAACCTTTGGGTCTTGGACTAGGGTAGCACCATTGATCCTTCTTGTTCTGGGGCTTTAGCCTCTTGGACTGTGCAGCTACTGTTTCTTTCAGCTCTCCGGCCTGCAGACGGCCATTATTGACTATCCATCTTCTGGCTGTATAAGCCAACCTGATAAGTCCCTTTTTATAATTATACTTCCTGTTGATTCTGTTCCTCTAAAGAACCATGACTAATACACCTGGTCATGCTGTGGGTCACTGTCCCCAGAAGTGGGAGGAGGAGCTTTGCTCTCAAAAAACTGCTGGGAAGGACAGAGCCCTGTGGATAGACCTGAATCAGCCCAGTCTCCAGGTGGCCATCTGCTGTTGTGGAGAGTAACAGACACTACCTATGTCACTCCACTTTGGCAGGTTTTTTAACTTTAGTTAACAGAAATCTCAGCTGCTGGGTGAACAAACAGAAATCACAGGAGAAAACCTTGTAAACCTTTTATTTGGAGCGGAACACAGATTGAGTTTATTCCATGTACTGCACATTCATAGAAGAAACCCTGGTGGACACAGGCACTGGGACACAAACGATGCTCAAGTGTCAGCTATGACCCAGGCCCATTGAGGAGGGCAGGTTCACCACAGAAGATGGATTGTAGTCCAAGACAGCACAAGGGCTGCAAGAGGATGGTTCTGGAACTGTGTCTTCTTACCCTTCCCTGTTTGTCTGCAAATGGCTCATAGCAGCAATACATTCACTGGAACACAGAGCTGGTGTTCAAAAAAAGCGGCTCAGACATAGTTTGTACACAAGCACTCAGCACTCACATGACAAAGAGGGCTCCAGCAGCATGGCCACAAATGTTCTTATAGCAGTTCACACTCAGCTCTGCTATGCCTGTGGCAGACTTGTTCAGCAGACCTGGGCACATGGGATCTCCCACCCCTCTTCTTACCCATAGCATCCCCCATCAGTTACCCTTACATCATCCGAGATCTGAGGGAGCAGACCACTGGGTGATATCGTATGCTCACCCCCAAGGAAGAGAGAAACACACAAGAGACCTGCTCTCCTGGAGGTCACACTGGTTCTTTCTTGGCTCCCCCAGAGTAGCCAGGACAGCTTGTGTAACCTCTCCAAACTCTCCGGTACAGGTGGAGGCCTGTCCTTGGGGAGGAAACAACAGAGGCTGAGAGCCAGAGCAAGATTCAGGTCACAGGGACGGAGACAACAGCAGCCACAGCCACAGAGATGGAGAGGAGGACACAGGGTCTTGTGTGCCTCAATCTCAGTATGGCCCTTAGCTCTGTCTGGCTCACAGCCCACCTGGATCCCAGGCAGGAAGGAAGCATTGGCAAGGCTCTGTTCTAGGTCAGGTTCCCACTCTCAGGTCACCCACAGCACAGCAGAGGCTGATGCACAGGTAGGTAGCTCTGAGGGCTGCAGGAGGAGGGGTCTCAGTCAGCATGGTGGCTCCTCAAGGATAAAATCATGTCCAGGATGGAGGGGTCCATGGAGATGGGAGCCAGGAATACTGGTTGGAGTGGAGATTGGGGTTCTGCTACTACAAGGCTGGACTCTTCTCTCTGTTCAGGGAGTCGATGTAGTGAAAAATGGCCCCCAGAGCCCAGCTGGTCTCCACATTGTCGATTTTCCGAGTCAGCTTGAAAAGACAAAGGGAGAGGCAAAGATCATATACCTTCATATGGGAAAGGCTGAGCAGATCTGTAGACTAAGGCAGCCCAGTCAGTAGCTGGAAGTCTGGGCTGTTCCTTGCATGCCAAGGATTGAGTGGGGGGACAAGGTTTCAATAATGGGATCAGCAGTTCCCAGTACCTCACAACATAATTGGGACAGAGGTGCCCAAGAGGTGAGTCCCTACCTTCAGCACTTTATTCCTGGGAAAGCCAAACTCCTGGAGCAGCAAGGTAATGTAGGTGAGATCCATGCACACGAAGGGGCTGCTGTGTGGCTGAGTCTCCAGAGTCCGACACACTGAGAGGAGATGGCCAATTCCCAGTTAGGTTCAGACAATCCCCTCCTTGGGGGACAGTGTGCTGTGTGGACCCCAACTCCACCCACTCTGGGTACCCACCCAGATCCTTATTCCTTATTTATAGTTAAGGCTGCAGCTTGGCATGGAAAGGTGACCATGACCAGAGCAACTCAAAGGCAGGCCATGCGGCCAGTCCTAGCCTACCCCAGCCTGCACTCTAGGACCAACAGAGATCTGCACAACTTGTCTTGGGGTCACAGTGGAAAGTCACCAATTTCCAGGCTATATCTTTGCACCTGTGACCCTGGACATCACTCCCAGGTATCCACCTGCATAAAACTTGTGCTTTCCAGGGGATGAAAATGACAGAATAACTAGCTTAAAATAATCCACTCTTGTTCTGAGGAAGAGGGGCAAAACCCAAAAGTGACATGAAAGCTTAAAAAAAGCCATTGAGTGGTGGGGAAAAGGTAGAACTTTTTATGGAAAAATACTAAAATGTAACTTCTTTGGGGGGCACTAGGGATTGAACTCAGGAACACTTAACCACTGAGCTACATCCCTAGGCCTATTTTGTGTTTTATTTACAGACAGGGTTTCACTGAATTGCTTAGGGCCTCACTAAGTGGCTGAGGCTGGCTTTGAACTTGCAATCCTCCTGCCTCAGCCTCCTGAGCTGCTGGGATTACAGATGTATGCCACCATGCCCTGCTTAAAATGTTAACTCTTGACCTGCAAATTGGGAGCAGCAACCAAAAGAGCAGAATACCAACACCAACACTTCACACACATTCCCTGGCTGTTGGGGTGAGTGGGCCTTAGATGAGGTAACAGGTAGAGGGGAAAGGGAACACAAGAGTGCAATCCTTCACCTCCACAACCCAGACTGTTCAGGAAACCTGACTTTTTCAGGGTCATGTGATAATCATGAACTCGCTGGGACATCTAAGGGGAAATCACTCTTGTGGTCACCCGGGTAGCAATGAAAAGATGTCAGAAAAAATGAAATGAGGGAATCTGTTCCTTATAGTCCAATGATGAGGCAGTGGACTGTGGCCCTTTTGCAGCCAGGACAGGACATAGGCCTCTGACCATGGTCACTATTAAAAAGGCAGATGTGGAATATAGGTCCATACTGCTCTTTCAGTGCACTCTGAACTCTGCACTTGCATACCTCTGAATACTCACCTGGTTGGTACAACCCAGAATCAAGGAATTCTGGGGCCACATAAACACTGTGGGGTGTCTGTCCCCAACTTCCTCAGTTTCTGTCCATCCACCCCCTCAGCCTCTCTTACCCCAGCAAGCACCATGACACTCACCATACTTGGCTGCTATCTCAAAGTCCCCGACCACAAGGCTGCCTCCCTTCTCCGCATCTGTAGGATGAGACAGGCACCCAGTCTCCAGGAGTACCATAGAAGCTCATGATCCTGCTGAGGCTTGAGGCTGGTGCCCAGGGACCCCATCCCAGGAATTCCAAGGTGCAGAGATGCAGACACTAGCCTCCCCTGGTTCTATGTAGCCATCTACACTCATGGGTCATGATTTCTCTTTTCTGCAGTGCTGGGGATGAAATTCAGGGCCTTGCATATTCTACACAAATGCTCCACCAGAGTTACACCCCAGCCAGTTTGTGGCCTCTAAGGTGGTACAGCTAGACCAAATTGGGACAGTTGTTCCCCACAGGATCAAACAGATAGAGGAGCTTTCAAGGATCATCACCCCCCAAACCCTGCAATGTCCCCCCCAAAGGAACCTCATCAGGATCTCTGGACTGTATGGACTGCACAAACTTGTAGGTTAGGAAAAGTAAAAGTATAGGGGTGGAAATGCTGCTTGAAGCCATGGCACTCATTCAGCAATAGTATTCTAATATCAATTTTCCAACTGTGGGTTAAAAAAAGAGTTCTATAAAAAAAAAGTAATGGAGGGAGTGGCCCCTGACTCTGGGTATTCTCTAAGTCAGTAAATATCACTGTTAAGATGTCACTATTAAGGGTCGTCTGAGGTGTTTTGTTTTTATTCAACTAGAATAATACTTTACAATAAACTACATCCTCAGCCCTTTTTATTTTTTTATTTTGAGACAGTGTGTTACTAAGTTGCTTAGGTCCTTGCTAAGGTGCTAATGAGGTTGGCTTTGAACTTGTGACCCTCCTGTCTCAGCCACCTGAGTTGCTGGAATTACAGTTGTGCACCACTGTGCCCAGCAAAAGGTAGTCTGAATTCCAAATATAACTCATACTGCTCTTTCAGAGCCAAGCATGACCACAACAGGCAGGTGGATTTGTGTTACTGAATAGCTCCATACCTCCTAAGGTCACCCCAGGGAAGATGCGTACCTTCTGGTAAGGACAGCCTGTGGCTAGGGTGTGGGACCCCCAGTGGGCTGCTAGACCAAGCTCGGGTGGGTGGGTTCTGGCTTACAATGTCCATAACTCTGGTGCAATCAGAACAGTGTGCCACTCTAGCTCCTCAGGCCTGGCAGGCCAATCAGTCTTGTGAAGAGGTTGCATGCCACCTTGACCACTCACCCTGGCTGGCACTTTCCACACTCAGTCCTGTCTTGGGGCAGCAGAGCCATTATAGATGCTGTGGGAAGCCCCAGGTCCCAGGGAATGGAATAGTGACATCATTAGTTTCTTCTGGGAAGTTTTTTATTTAAAGTATTAATTGGGGTTCTTATTCTTACCTCAGGCAATGCATGCTGATATTATCAGTTTATTTCATTAAGAAAATTTTGGTCTCCAACCACTAAAGTGACTTTACAACCTTCGCACAAGTGTTTATATAATCTGGCCAATGATAGCCCCAGCAAACTCCAACACCTGGCTCTGCACTGACCTTGTTCCCTGGATTAGGAAGGACAAGCTAGAGGGAGACCCACATCATGAGGCTGATCCCTCCAGTGGTGGGGAGAGAGCCACAGGGCCCAGGCAAGATACCAAGAGTCTGAGGCAGTTAAACAATGTGAGTCAGCTCAGGGCAAGACCTGCCCTCCAGCAGGAATCTAAATCAATAGTATGTAACTGTCTATGCATGAACTAACTAGCTTAAGGAACTAATTTATCTATAAAAACAGAGCTCAGTATTTCCTATCCTGATGACAAGATGTCTCCCCACAATTCTGCCCTCCTAAGTCTACTTCCAACATGGCAATACAATTATTCACCTGTCACAGGCCCTCTGCCCAGGAAATCCACGATGCCCAGCCAGCCCCTATCCTTACCTATGAGACCGACACTGGCTGCAAGGTCATAATAGTAGGAAAAAGCATAAAAGTCCACGTGCTTCACCTCTTCTGTTCTGTGTACTTTATTTCGAAGTACTTCTGACACTCGGCTGGCACACAGCTCATAGAGGCTCCCTGCAGGGAAAGGAAAAGCATACACCCAGCAGTTGAAGAGCCCTGGGCACTCAGGCCATATGTGGCTTTTAGGGGCCTTTCTTAGTGACTTCATGTGGTACCAGAAGCCCCCGCTGATCCCGAGTCAGGGGCTGCTTACTGCACATGGCAATAGCAACCATGCTGGTTCAGATCAGCAGGCAAGGAAGCCCCCACGTACAGAGAGGCCGGAGAGAATGGAGCCCAGCTCTGAGGCAGGTGGCCTGGGTACCCTAACTCTGGCCCCAGGTAAAGGGCCCTGTGTAGCTGTCCTCACCAGCCAGCGGGTATCAGTCACTCTGTACTCACTGTCTGCCAGCACTGAACTACATGTCAGCAGCTGCCTCAGAAGTGCTTCCTTTCTATATCACAGGGTGGGGGACACTGAGCCCCTGTGGGCCACCTGTCAAGTTCACATAGCTGGCTGGAGAAGAACGGCAACACGGGGCCCTAGAGATTAACAGACTCTGGAGGTCATACTGACAGCCTTGGACATCTCATTAGGCACATCAATATCCCATACTTTGATCTGCCTTAAGCCAGTCTCCCTTTCTTTTCTAGTGTTCTCAACAGGCCACAGAGCCATGCTCTTGACCTTCAGATCTCATTTCCTCCCAATGTCTTTCCTCAGACTAGTTATACTACTGCCTCCTTGTTCACTAAAAAAAAAAATATTTTATCTCAGGGCTTTTGCTCTTGCTTTCCCCTGGCCTGGAGAATCCCTGCTTTAGATCTGGGCGTCTCATTTCCACTTCTTCATGTTTTGGCTCAAATCACCCCACAGGCCTTCCTTGTCTGTCCTGGTTAACATTGCAATGTACCTCTTGGCACCTCCATTTCCTTGTTTTATTTTTCGTCAAAGAGATTTTTCATGTTTTACTGTCAGATTCCTCCTCAGGGGACATCAGCTGCACTGTCCTGCTGTATGCTGGGTGCCTACAGGGAGACCTGATCCTCAGAACATGCACAGTGGACCAATGAGTCAGTAAACCTGTGTGGTCACCAAAGATGGGCCTTTCTTATGCCATATGTTCAGCCTTGGAACAACAGTTTAATATTTTCACAGACTCCAAGGGTATAAAGCAGTACAGATCATTAAGCTGAGAGAGCAAGTCTTGTGAGGCTTACTCACAGGACAGCAGGATCTCCATATCCAGAGCAGGCAGTGGGAAGTAGCCTTTGCCAGAGAAGCCTCCATTTCTCTGTGTACAAAACTGGCCCAACACAGGACTTCTGGGCCAGCAGCCCAATAAAGCCGTTTGTCTTGGAACCTGAGGTCCTTCCTCATTGGAGGCCTGACAGGAAATTGGGCCCTTTGGAAAGAAGCACTGGAGACAGACAAGGAAGCCTTGTGCAGAGACCCTACAGAGGGGAGGCAAGGCAGCAGTTCCCAAGCTCTGACAAAGGCCTCTGGAGCCCTGGTGAGGGTTCCCAGAGCTGCCTGTGTTTCCAGGGCCAGTTTGGGCTTGTCTGTGCCAGTCTCCTTCTGAGAGGTATTTGGAAAAGGTACAGGGGATGGGCAGGCTGCCAAGTGGACCTCATAAGCCACTGACAAATGACCAACATACCATACCTGCCTTCTGTCCTGAAATCCTGTATGTTATTTCAGCATGTTCCCACTCTCCTTTGAAACTTGGAGATAGACAGGGGCTGACCAAGTCCTTTCCATCCTTAACTGAAATAAAGAGATAAAAATGAAAGAAAAAAAAAAGGAAAGAAAAAAAGCATAGTGCCACCAGACCAGGGCCTTACAGGACAGGGAAAACAGCTGGGCACAGTGGTGTAGGCCTATAATCCCCAGCAGCTCGAAGCTGAGACAGGAGGATCATGAGTTCAAAGCCAGCCTCAGCAACGAAGAGGCCCTAAGCAACTCAGTGAGACCCTGTTTCTAAATAATATACAAAATAGGGCTGGGGATGTGGCTCAGTGGTGCAGTACTCCTAAGTTCAATCCCTGGTACCCAAAACAAAACAAAACAAAAAAATCCAAACAAACCAGAAAATGATGTTGCCTGGTATTCAAGGTACTGAAGTGCTTCCTTCTGCTAGAGGAAACCTGATTCCTGGGGACATTCCAAGTCAGCTGGAGAGGAAAACCCTCCTCCATCACAGAAGATGCAGCAAACTTCATTTGCCCTGGAAACATGACTATTTGCCATTCCTTGGGGACTTCAGGGTTCTAGGTACTGGGCCAAGTACAGTTCAGTCAGCAGTCATACAACCCTATTGGGAGGGGAGCCATCATTACCCAATTTTAGAGATGATGAGGTTGTAACTGGCAAGTTGGTGGCAAGACCAGGAACTGAAGCCACCTTGAAGCCACCATGCCATAAATTAATTGGTGGTTACTCTGTAGAACAAATCCAGGGCCTACAACTAGCAAAAGAAGCTGGTATCTGGTGTCCAAGACTACCCTCTCACTGCCATCCCTCACAGACAGCAGGGTGCTCTCCACTGAGAGGGTCTTGTCCCCTTCCTGGATTCTGGTCTGGGTAGGAAGTAATGGTATGTGAATTTAGGGTGGTCCTCCTTCTTTGGAGGTGCCACATAAGCAGTCTTGTCTATCCTTCTGGGGGCAAAGCCACACAGAGTAGTGCCATGGCACAGAATGCCAGCCTGAGCTTCCCCTACTGCAGCCACACAAGACTCTGGGACTCTAGTGAAGCCATCACCTGACTGAGCCCTGTGGAATCATGAGACACAACAATAAAACAACTACTATTTGCTGTTTTTCTTTCTTGAGGCACATGAGATCAAACCCAGTGCTTTAGGCATGCTAGGCAAGCACTCCATCCCAGAGCTGCATCCTCGGCCCCACCATTTGTTGTTTACCACTGTCTGGGGTGATCTGTTATGCAATAAAGATGGTGAAACCTTCCCAATGCTGTGATGAGTGGGAAGAGAATGGAAGTTGGGCCATACTCCATAGCTAACCACAAAGGGGCAAATAGTGCCTGCATTCTCCTTGTCAGCTAAAAAGCAGGTGTTTCCGGCCCTGAAGTGAGGGGTGCAAGTGTTTCTGAGACACGGACATATTTTTGGTTTACAACAAGGGGGATACTATTGAGAATACATACCAAGATTTGAAAGAGTGAACCTGGAATAGGGTTACATAGAAAAATGATAATTCTAGTTGAACATTCCTACCCTGGCAGAACCACCAGGCCCTTGAAGAAGTGGCAGAAGTGTTGGACAGGTGGAGGGCAGAGTGTGGCCCCATAGCTGGGGAACATATTCTGTACTCTGGATAGAGTGCCTCACATACACATACACATCTGGTCACTATCAGTGCTGTCTGGAAAACCAGGCTGATACTAGCCTCAGGGTAGCCAAAACTAGATTATTCTAAGAGCATTTGTGCATGGACTTGAGGCCCACTGGAAGGAGAAGTGAAGACCTGGAATGAGATGCTCCATCTAATGACCTGGCAAGACTCAGGTTTCTTCTTAGACATGACTGTAGGAAAGGGCCAAGCTGCTGCTTCTTTTTTTGGTACCTGAGCCACATCCTCCAGCTCTATTTTGTATTTTATTTAGAGACAGGGTCTCACTGAGTTGCTTAGCGCCTCCCCATTGCTGAGGCTGGCTTTGAACTTGCGATCCTCCTGTCTCAGCCTCTTGAGTTGCTGGGATTACAGGTGTGTGCCACTGCACCTGGAAGTCAAGGTTTTGTTTGTTTTTTTTTTTTTTTAATGATCTTTCATAAAGCAGAGATGAGGGAGGGATGTTCTTGCAAGTGGGAATCGCTGTGACTGAGAAAAGCATCCCCTGATGGAAACCGCTTCAGCATCCCCTTCTCATAGTCTGTCCTGAACTGTCTGAAAAACCAGGTCATCTCTTCAAATCCCTAAAAACAAGTTCCTATGGTTTGGATAAGTGTCCTCCAAAGGCTCAAGTGCTAAAAGTTTGCTCCCCAGCATGTGGTACTATTCAGAAGTGGTGGAAGCTTTAGGAGGTGGGGCTACTTGAATAAAGTTAGGTCACTGGGAGACAGCCCTTGAAAGGCCCCCACCCCCTCCTATCTCTCTTTATGCCTGCCAGCTGCCATGAGGTAACCTCTGCCATGCACTCCCACCCTGACTGTTGCCTCACCACAGGTCCAAAGGCAACAGGGCTAACTCTCCATAAATGTCTGAAACCATGAGCCAAAGTAAATCCTTCCTCCTTATAAGTTGTTTATCTCAAGCATTTTTGTCACAGTGATAGCTTAGTAACACACAAGTTGACTCTAAATGTAGGTGAGGACTGTATAGTTATTTGGGTTCCTAGAATTTGTGTTTCAGAAATGATTTCACTAGTGCCTCATAAAAATACAATGGTGCTAGGAGGCAGCTTAGTGGTAGGGTGCTTGTGTAGCATGTGCAGTGCCTTGGGTTTGATCCCTAGTATGATAAAAACAAAACAAAAAACAAAGCAACAGAATGTGCAGTAAATCATGTCCTCCTCCATCCCCGTCAGGACATCACTGACGAGATCTGAGGCCTGTCTTTCCTAGGCCTACAACAGCCCCAGACCTTTGCTGGGTGGCTGGTGGCCAGCATGCAGTGAAGGAGATTTGAGCAACATGTTCCACTTACCAGGTTTTCCCTCCACACCGCCTAAGATCGCCAGTCGTGCTGACATCAATCCCAGTCCCAGGTAGCTGTGGAAATAGTGCCCTGGGTAAGGCTGGCCAGAAACACATCCATCTGTCGGGGCCCAACATAAGTGGGAAAGGTGGGACCTTGTGCAGTGACAAAGCATTTAGTGGGCTTTCCTGCTTCTTTTAGAAGTCTCTTACTGAGTTTAGGGCATGATTCAGCTAATTAATTCAACAAACAAGGGCCTATTACAATGTGGACAATGCAGTGAATGAGACAGACTCCACTCTAGTTTTCACAAAGCACAAGAATCTATGAATATGCCACATTGCAAATAGGTGGCTTAGGAAATTCCTGCACAGTCCATGGGCTCGCCTCAGTCTTTTGCAAGCCTTCTTCAAAGCAGGACAGAATAAGCCTGATAGAAGAATGTGATTTTACTACAAATAAATTTAAAAATGATGAAACTGGGTAGGGCAGAGCAGGCAGGATGAGGAGGATTCAGATGAATACAGCATGAGGGATTCTAGGATTTGGCATATCTGCTGGTATCTAGCTACTCCATGAGGCAGGAGTTGGAGGCAACCAGGGGACGTGCAATGCCAGTAGAGCTGCCCGCCTGTCCCGTCAGCCTCCCCCAACTCCAATAAACTTACCTGTAGGAGTAGAGCTTATAGGTCCTGTTAAACATCTGCAGTGCTGTCAGATGGCCAGGTGGAGAGGCCTGAAGAGTGCCCTGGGGAGGAACATAATGGTGACTATATTTCCCTTGTCTTTCCAGAACACCGTCCCCATTCCTTCAATTCATTTGGATGAACAGGGACATTCAGATGGAGTCAGTTAAATGAAATTTTCATTAAGTCCTGCGCTGTGAAAGAGTAAGGAGCAAGTAACAAAAAATAAAGCATCCAGAATGTTTCTTCCTTTTAGGTAGTGTTTTACCCATTCTGTAAAACATGGCCCAACCAAAAGAATCAGGATATCAGTAAACTTCATTACTCTGTTCCACTGGAAACTAAAATAATAGAAAAATCGGTGGGTTGGGAGTTTTTTTGTTTTTTTTTTTTTCAGTACAGGGATTGAACCCAGGTAACTTTACTATTGAGCTACATCCCCAGCCCTTTTAAAAATTTTTTTTAGTGTATTATAGATATACATAATTGTGGGGTTCATTTTGACATGATCATTGAAGCTAGAGAACATCATGCTAAGTAAAATAAACTAGACACACAAAGTCAAGGGTTGAATGTTTTCTCTCACATGTGGAAGCTAGAGCAAAATAAGGGGGAAAAATTGGGAGGAGTGCCATGAAAACAGAGGGGAGATCAGTGGAGTTAAGAGGGGAGATAGAGGTAAGGAGGGAGAAAGACGGTGTAAAGGGAGGAACTGCAGAATGAAATTGACTGAATTAAGCTATGTACACATATGAATACACTACAATGAATTCCACTTATATGTATATCTATAAAGCACCAATTTAAATTAAAACAATTGAGAAATAGAAGACCTTTGGCCTTTGTATTTTGAGACAGGAATTCACTGAAAAGCTGAGGCTGGCCTCAAACTTGCTATCCTCCTGCCTCAGCCTCCTGAGTTGCTGTAAACAGGCATGGTTAGGAGGGAGCTATTTTAAATAGCAGATAATATTAACTGGAAGCATTTTTATCTCCTTAAGAACATTTGTCTTGACAAGGGTAGAGCTCTCTCCCCTCCTGTGAGTCAGAATATATGCTGTCTGCTCTTGCTCCTTTTCTGGGACCCTGCAAGGGATGGGAGCCACTGGTTTCATTTTTTCTGACCCAAAGGTTTCTGATTATGATCTAATTTATCACCCCACTGAAGATGGAATTTCTATTTTGGTTTTGTTTTTCAGCTGAGTTAAGATTCAAATAAAAAGTGTTATCTGTGTGGGAGCTGGCCCAGGGTTTGGAGGTGTGGAGTGACTTCTACCAGCCAATGGGCCTTCCCTGGGCAGCCCCTGACCTGCCTCCCCTAAGGCACTGAGGCAGGCAGGGCTGGTTACCTCGACCCGTGGAAGGAAGGTGATCTGAGTGGATCCTCCGCCCAAATCCAGCATGCCCACACTGCTCCTTCCTGGGGTTTTCAAACTGCCTACAGCACAGTGGGTGAAGACACAGCACTGTCATGTTAGTAAGTAGATGATGACAGTAGACAGATCAAAGTGATTAATAGCTGGACCTTTAGCAGAAAGGAAAACAAGACAGAAAAACAACTGCAACTAATTAAAAATCTCCACTGAAAGGAGTACTATATGTTTAAAGGACAACATCAATGGCTCTACCAGCTTTGGCATTTTTAATTTTTTTTGGTACCAGGGATTAAACCTAGGGGTCACATCCCAGCCCCTTTACTTTCTATTTTGAGACAGTGTCTTGTTAAGTTTCATAGGGCCTCACTAAGTTGATGAGGCTGACTTTGAACTTGAAATCCTCCTGCCTCCGCCTTCCAAGTTGCTGGGATTATAGGAGTGGACCACCTTGCCCAACCCCAGCTTTGGCTTTGACAGGCTGACACTGCCCGTCTGGAGAGACTGTATACTGGCTGCATTCACCAGGTCGCAGGCCGCTGCCTTACCTCCCAGGGAAATGCTGGAACCTGGGACACAGGCCCTGGAAGGATTCCAATCCTCTCCCTTACCCATTGGTCCCATCTTCATTTCTGTTCCCCAAAAGCCCGTGAGGTGGACATTCCTCATCTATCCTCTAGCATCTTCTCCCCACACCCCTAAAAGGAGCAAATCCTGCCAGGAAACTTCTTTCTTTCTCATATCTGTATCAGACACACTGGCTTTTCCACAATTCCACTGCAGGGACTTGTACTTGTAATCTATGTAAAATGACTTCTTTCTCTCTGTTCCCAAGAATAGATGTTTTGTTATAAGGTGATTAGCATTTGCATCACATTGACTATTAAGAAACTTGGCTGTTTTTACTCACTACTTCTCTCAGAAATGAGAGAACAGGGCCCCTGGTAGAGGTTTGACGGGAGATAGGCAGGAACAGTGGGTGGGAGAAATAGTTCAGGAGAGGTGCTCTTCCAGCATGCATCCCTGTGAGGAGTGCACAGCTGTCCATAGGGCCAGGCAAACCCCCCCCCCCCCCCACAAGCCCCAACAGCCTACTTCAGGACCAGCAATGCTGTGAAATCCAAGGGGTTATAGAAACAAGATCCCTGCTCTTCAGAAAGGCCATCAGCCCTCCTTTACATATGACGTGAACTGTTAGCCTTTCCCTTTTAAGTAAACACACCTGTTAGGAAGTTGACAGTGATCCATGCTGATACGCCTACAAAAGAGTGGCAGAAGCAGCACTGTAATTGCTTGAGACGCTGTTAACATAACACCCAGATTGCAGGAGCACCAACTGCCCACTGTCTGAATGCTCCCAGTCTTCAGACCATCCACAGAGAGGTATTCATTCATAAGTAGATCCAGCAGCTTCTGGCAGGCTATTCTAGAAGATGCCACACTGAAACCCAGAACACTTTACCAAAAGCCATGCCTCCTTCCCATTCTTTATCACCAGCTTCTTCTTTTGGAAGAGGCAGAAAAAGAATGTCCCCTCCACTCCCATATAAACTCACTTGAAAAAGAACCCAATGTCCCCTCCACTCCCATATAAACTCACTTTTTGTGTGTGTTATGTGGTACTAGGGATTGAACTCAAAGCCTCATGCATGCTAGGCAAGTGTTCTACCTCTCGCTACTTCTGCAACCCTACAAACTTACTTTTAAGGTCATATTAAAATCAGGGCCAGTGAGGATCCTCAAATGTCTGTCTTAGAATTAGCAATGTAACCACAATATTCTAAACATGGAAGCAATTGGGTTCTCTCCAAACATCCTTAACACTGAAGACAAGATGTTTTCAGAAACTTTATCTGTGCTAAATCTGAAGTTGGTCAAGATGAGAATCTGTCACACTGGACCCCCAAAGACTACCTGGCATATTTAAATTTTGAGTGGGACCCTAACCTCAATTATTTTTCATTTCTGTATCTGACCAAGGAGACAGCTTCCATGTGTGGAATTCCCCGTAGCAGTATAGAGCCCTCTTATTGTGACAGCATTACTGTCTGGAGGTACTTTTGGATACTTTACCTTCGTCCGTTCCGTTCATGATGGAAACACAGTCATCCCCTACCAGGAAAGGTGATGCCTTAAACACCTCTTTCACCTAAATGTAAAGAGAGACATTACTTCATCATTTAGAATGTATTCAGTGGTTTCCAGGTGTGGCATGTAGTCAGCAGGCAGTAATCAAAACATGGAGGGGTCTGAAGAGCAGCAAAGCTTCCATTTCTCTTTAAGCTTATTCTATCCTCTGTGAGGGGTTTCTTCACTTAATCTCCTTCCCAGGCTAGCTAAGGCATATGCTGCCCTTGTGACCTTGTCTTAGGACACTTTGGACTGGAAGAGCTCTGGGGGAATGGATGGGGTGGGTGTGAGCTGTTGTACAGTGCGACTGCAGGGCCCCAAAATGCTGCCCAGCTTTGGGATGTGAGATGAAGGGTGTGAAGCCCTACAAGGCAGAGCTCAAACCTGGGGACCACTTATATAGTCTAGTGGGCACTGCCCCGGGGAGCCAGCCCAGCAGAAGGGAGGCAGAGGCCATGAGCATTTTGGTGTATTTCCTTCTCTCTTTTCTAGCATGTCTTAGTATACAGAAACTTACATGCATCTGCACACCCCAACCTCACTGATGTCCCACAGTTCCACGTTGTGTGTAACCCTGATTGATGTACACTGTGTCATCACCTCTCAGGTAAATAGTGTAGGAACAGTGTAGAGATTGAGGGGGATTATTTTGCCTAAAGCATTTCCTGATACAGCCAACAGGAAGAGTCATTCCCAGCCCCAGAGCAGAGTGCCAGGCAGTTAGGGACATGGGAGCCCTGAGGAGTGCTGGGACTGGAGAGGAGGCTAAGGGCCTCTTGAGCAGTCATATCACAGCATCAGACCTAGAGCAGGACTCTGTCCCTAGAGAAAATGAGCACAGTAAGTTTGGGCTGAGATGTCAAAGAGTTTAGTTCCCATAGCCCTCTGACTGACAGCAAATCTCTGGGTAGGGGATGGACTTCAAAAGCAGTGTACTTTTAAAATAAAGCTGTTTTTTTTGTTACAAGACACAGATCCACTCTAGAAAACATATATATCCTTAAATATCATTCAAAAGACACCTAAAGGTGAGGCTGTGAACACTGAAGGTTCCCTCAGGACACTTCCATGTATTCTTTCTGCTCAACACTGGCTACAGGGAGAGTGTTTTTAGCTATCATTAGCCACCCCCTACAGAGGGAAATGGCTCAGCTCACCTTTTGCAATAACTTATGGGCCTTTTCTCCTGGTAACAGACGCAAACCAGCTGTGGCCTTGAGGACCAGAGGAGTGACCTTCCAGAAGTCGAATGGAATCTCTTGTTTAGCAACATCCAGCAGTTCCTGAATTCCCTGAGCACTCTGTGGACATTGTAAAAGCAAATCAGGGGCGGTCATACCCAACATACAGTGCTATCTCCCCACTTTTTAAAATATATAAACATTTTTTTCTAATTTTCAAAACTGTAGAACTAAGTACCATGAATAACTACTCTGAGGAACTATGTCACACAAAGGTGTAAAAGACCCAAAGGTTGCATAAGGTCCTATGTCAGAAGAGGTGTGGAGTAGGGAGCAATTTGACAAAGTGTAGCTGAGCATGTCAATGGTACGGTACACTGCCACAGAGAGCAACTGACAATGTCTGTCCAAGAGGGAAACTCACTTTTACCCAGAAGTTCCAATCTAAGAATTCACGTGGGGATTATGAAATACATATCAGGTGACAGACTTTACTACTCTATTGTGTATGTAAAATAAAAACAAAGAAAATAACACATGTATATGTAAACCAGCTCTTTAAGGCTACATGAGACAGCAGGGGTGTGATTCTGGGGGCAGCATGGAGGGATACTTGCTGATACCCTAGCAAGCTTAGAAATTTGTCTCATTGAATGTGTGTTACCTACGCAGAAGGTTAAAAATTTTAAAATCCTATGAGTTTATTCTAAGATATATAATTTAATCAGGTTTTAACCTCATTTCTATTCTCAAATACAAATTTCTACTTGTTTTTAAATCAAGCTACAAGAAAGCAAGGCTTGTGTTATGATGTCTGACAACATGACACATCTGTATCCAAGAACAGGATTTGGAAAATGGTGGAACCAGGTTGACACGTAGCTCATGTCACTTATTTAGCACGTGCAAGGCCTCAGGTTCCATTTCCAGAAACAGACACATGCACACATTTGCATGCATGCACGCGCACGCGCGCGCACACACACACACACACACACACACACACAACTGAAACCACAGGGAACCCACAATTCTACAAGCACCCTGTTTTGCAAGTGCCTTAAACCAGACATCCTGTAATAGTGCAGTTGTGTTAAGAGCTTTAGAAGTATAAACACTACAAACTTACAGAAATCATTATGTAGCAGTTTAATGAAACTTCTTTTGTTTATTTATTCTTTTACATTTACTTTGTTTTTGGATTTTGCATAACAGACTTTTTTGTGTATGTGTGTATGGCACTGGGGATTGAACATAGGGCCTTGTTCATGTTAGGCAAAATTCTCTACCATTGAACTATACCCCCAGTTCCTGTAATACATATATATTTTGTAATATATTTTTAATTTTTTTTGTTGTAGTTTTTTTGATGTAAGGTAGGAAACACTGACTAAAAGAAATTAAAAGAAAAAAAATGTGCAAAACTCACAAGACAGTGTGAAAAAATAAGAGACTGCACACTTATCTCCACCTGACCATTCTCAAAGGCACCAAAGCCCCTGCCAGCACCAGCAAAGATGCCTTTCTCTAAGAAGATAGTCTACCTAATCCAAAGGAAAGGAGTTGGCTTTAACTATTAGAAGACACTTGATGAACAAATAGACAAAAGAGGATTATTACCTTTTCAACGTCGTCAGCATAAGCGGAAAGACCGGGCTTCAGTGCTTTGAAGGTTTCATGGGTCAAGGTGGGGGTTTCTAAGGGGAAAGTGTTTTTAAAAAGGCACAACAATGAGTACAGGCACAGACATATGAATATATATATATAACTGTCACTAGCTGAACTTTTGGTCTGACCACATAGACCAATGCCAGAGTAGTAGAGACCCTATCCTTTTTTTGTCTAAATTTTGCCTCTTCAGTTCAGCAGAACATGAATATGCTACCTAATATTTGGGTCAGAACTTTGTTCAACTTTGGGAGGTGAGGATGTAGCTCAGAGGACTATTGCTTGCATGCATGAGGCCCTGGGTTTGATCCCCAGTACTGTAAAAAACCAAAACAAATAAACCCAACAATCTTTATTGTATACAAAACACTCACAGAACACTACATCCATTTAAAGTGTTAAATTTTAACAGTTTATTCTTGCTTATTCAACCGAACAAATGATTTCAACCTATAAATATGAAAATCCCTTCCTTGATGCTGGAATGGATGTATCACAGTCCTAAAGATTAGGAGTCTGCTAAAGAAATTGAGTATTTTACCTTATTAGGAGGCTGAACTCGAAGGAAAGTGTTCAGATGCATCCTGTGGCCTCAACCCAAGGCCTCACACATGCTAGTCAAATGTTCTATTACTGAGCCTCACTCCAGCCTTTAAATTAGCTTCAAAACCACTTCTGGAGGGAGGAATGGTATCTAAATATTTACTTATAGGAATAAATGACAAAATAAAGCAATATCATTTACCCTGTCGAATCAGCAAGAATTAACCATACTAAAACTAACACTTTAAATACATATGAATTTTTGTATGTAAACTATCTTCAATAAAGGTAATTTATTTATTTTTTTTTAAAAAAGCAAAGTTTTAGCCCAAACATAAAAATAAATAATAATGAAATTAGATAAACTATTCCACAATAGTTTGAGAGAGAGGTTATTGGTATCAACAGAGAGCAGTTAAATGCCAGAATAGTATCTACTCAAAAGGGTCACTTTTTTGTGGACTAGAGGAGGGACACTCATATGTGTGACCTGGCACCTGTCTGGCAAAAGGCTTGACATGCTCACTAACTCTAGGTCAGAAATGCACCAAGGAGGGCAAACCTTAGGGTAACAGGCATGGGAGATAAACAGTGAAGAACTGGGCAGCAACCAGGGTCCCCCTACAGAAACCACCTGCCCTCTAGACAGAGCCCTAACCCTACCCTAGGAGGCAAAGCTGGTAGGGGCTCAGATTCCAGGTTCCTTCTCACTGCTGAGGGCCATACCATCTGTCATCACCTGGCTGTCTGGGTGTACTGTGGCAGCTTCTGGCAGCCTGGGTTCCGGGTTTTTGCTATTTATCTAACTTGCCTGTATTCCCGGTTTTTATAAACCTGAATATAGAGTTACTTCCTGCTTTGAACTCTTGTGATATGACCTCTGGCCCAGGTCATGGTCATAGCCACCCAAACAGTCTGTATGGGAGGGGACAGGCCATTAAATGCCATCTAGGGTCTCAACTGTTCTACAGTAGTGATCATTACTTGATACTATTACAATAACTTGGGAATCCTGGGGAATTTAGATGCCACATCCTGAGTCAACATCTCTTAATAACTGCATTATTTGTGAGTGCTGCTAGGATCAGACTCAGGACCTCATACATGCTAGGCAAGTAATCTACTCTGAGCTACATTTTCAGTATCTATATTTTGATAAGCTATCAGGTGAGTTCAAGGCAGGGCTCCAGCCTATACTGTCTTCTAGTTGAGAAGATTCCAAGAGCCCTGCCATGATAGGGGAGAAGGTAGACCCCACGTCTGGGCGCAAAGAGGCTCACAGTCAGGCCGGGATACCTCCAGGAGGCTGAGCAAATTGGAAGACATGCACGCGGGTGCCAGTGCTTCCGGCATCAAACATGATCCCATAGAAGACCTCATGACCACGTATAGCTGATCCTAGTGAGCTGCGGGCCTGTTGTCCCCACCGGGCCCCTGAGGCTGCCCCAGCGATAGTGAAAAAGGCCTGGGTAGCAGAGGCCCGGTGCCACTTGATGTAGACGACGTAGATGAATAGGCCCAAGCACAGTCCCAGGGGGTATGCCACCTTCGTCATCCGCAGGGTCCCATGATTTGGTATTTTTCTCATTTCTTAGTCTGCCAAGGACTGTGCTTGCAACTGCTGGTAGGAAAAGAGGAGAGGCAGAAAAACTATGTCAGATTTCAAGGTTTCAATGTGTGTCAGAAGTCCCACAGTCCAGAGACAAAATGTACAACCAGAAACTGGCCTGCATTTACTCTCTGGAGTCAGAAGCTTCATTTGATCCTTGAAATGGTTCTGGAAGGTGTGGTCCAGGACTGAGGGCTATAAACACTGGGTAACCTGTCCACGGCTATATGCTTTGTAGGTGCTGAAGTGGGCACAGATCATAGCTGTGGCCTAAGTGTCTGGGATATATTGCTACTTAAAATAAAAAGCTATGTGTAAGCAATGTCCCTAGGTCATTCAAGTAAGAGAAATGAGTATCACATTCATTCTTTGAATCATTACTTATACTTCCACTAAAGCAATTTACTCTTCCAAAGGTTTAAAAAACTGTCCCTCAGGCAACTAGAGAGTCTAAAACAAGTGGGAAAAATGTCACTCGTTTTTTCTGGAAGTTTCACAACAGAGGCCTCCTTTCATTCGCATAGTACATTCCTGCCAAGGAGGAAGTAATGTTTGCATGCTTTCAAAGCCTATGAAAATTCTACCCAGAGAGCAAAATAAATTAATTTGTCACTGTATATTTGGTTCAATACACCCCCAAATGAAAGCATTTGCTCATGTTTTATTATCAGCTCCTGGTGCAAGGCAGTATGTGGAAACCCAAGTCTTCCATGGATAAGAAGTGAGGGAACTGATTCTCAGGGCTTCCCCTGTCCTTGGGGAACATCCATCACTCTGTCAGTCCTGTACTTTCTTGTCTGTTGTGGGGAGTGCAGTGGCACTACTAGGGGAACAGAGGGTAGAGAAATGAGAGCTGGAGCAGGACCTGGTCTGGGCTTAAACTGCAGTAGCATGTGACCACGTCAAACTGTTCTCTCCAGAGGGGCTGGTCTCCTCATCTGTAAGGTTAGGCTGCTCACAGGAAAGCTGCATCTTGACGCTGGGGATTCAATGTGCTCAGGACAGGCTACTGAATGCAGAATTTGCGGAGGGGCAAGAGAAGGAAACATCCCCTGGGAACTAGGAACAGTGAGGACTGTGTGGCCACATTGCCTGGGGAGGGAGACACTATAGAGGGGCCAGTCCTATGTGAGCTGCATGCCAACCCTGAGGCTGCTAGGTGGGGAAGAAATGGAATGAAAAGGTTCTTAAGGAGAGAGCATGTAGCAGGCCTTCCACGGTTCCGCCTTCCAGGGTTTCAACTTGTGGTCACACCCAGATGCCCTCAGGACCCTAGAGCTCAGGGCTGACAAGTACTGCTTCTATGCCCCTGGCTGAGGGAAGAGGCCTAAAATGGGGCAGGAGGCAGGACAAATCACCCTTCTGGGTTACAGAAAGGCTCTCCAGGCAGGTGCTGAGAAGCAAGCCTCCTTCCCCAAACCTACCAGCTAGATTGACTAGGGAATACAGAGAGAAGACCTGACTAAAATCAGAAATAAGAGAGGACATTACTATTAATTTTACAGAATAAAAATGATTTTAAGAGATTATTATGAACAATGATATGTCCTCAAATTGGATATCTAGATGAAATGGACAAATTCCTAGGAACATACAACCCACCAAGATGAATTATGAAGACACAGAGTATCTCAACAGACCTAGAAGCAGTAAGGACATTGAATCAAAAATCTCCCAACAATGAAAAGTATTGGACTAGATAGCTTCACTGCTGAATGTACTAAATATTTAAAAAAGAATTAACATAAATTCTTCTCCAAAAAATACCTCTTTACTTGTTCCATAAGGCCAGTATTATACTGATATTTAAGCCAGATAAAGACACTACAGGTACAGACCAATATCTCTTATGTATATTGATGAAAAAATCCTTAACAAATGCTAGAAAACTTTACTCAACAACATAGTAAAAGATTTATGTACCATGACCAAATGGGATTTATTCTTAGAAAGTAACATATGAAAACCAATCAATGTAATATATGCTTTATTAACACAAGGAAGAGGAAAAAAAATCACTACGAAGGAAAAAACCAACAGGATTGTCTCTGTTGATGTAGAAAAAGCACATAATAAAATCTAACACATTTTCAGAATAAAAACAATCAAAATATTAGAAGTAAACTATCTCAGGATAATTAATGTCATATACGAGAAAATCACAACAGGATCAATGGTGAAAGACTTGACATTTATGGTAAGAACAGGAATAAGAAAGGATACCTGCTTCTACCACTTCTATTGAACATAGTCTTGAAAGTCCTAACCAGATCTATTAGAAAAAAAAAACAAAAACAGGTGGGATCCAATAAGGCTGGCCAGAGGCAGGCAGCATTCTGTGTTGTTCCATGACCTGGGACTCAAGTAGTGAGAATACTGCTTTTCTGCAAGTGATATTCCTGCTCCTGCGTAGGAATCACGGTCACTGTGCATCCAGGGCTCCAGGCTTCAGCGTCAGAGTAGGTCTCCCAACTACTCACCCATGCAGGACTACCAGGTACTGGAGCAGGACCAGTAGCATTAACACCAGTGCAAAACATTTGGCCATCCACAAGAGCAGAAATCGCGGATGCCACGCCCACGCAGGACACCTGGCAGCTTCCCACATGCAGGAACTCCAGCTGCCACTCCTGTGTGGACCCCCATCTAACATTGTGGGGCTCCCCCAGCCGCTGCCATCTTGGGACTTCCCCAGCAGTGGAGATAGTCCCCTAAGCACAGTAGCCTGCCTGCACCCGAGAACTCCACACAGGCTCTGAAGTCAGCCAGCAGCCACACACTGCAAGCCACAGAGATCATCTCTGAAATCAAAGTCCAATACCATCACCTGGCTCCATCCACCTGACCCAACACCCCACCATTGAAAGCAGGTGCCTCCATGTTGGGTCACATTCATCACAATTTTCGATGGGGGCAACTCCTACTTTGGAACTCTGGCTGGCCAGCTACTCAGTTTCTAACTCTCCCCTCTCCTCAGCAGCTGCTAGCCTGGCACAGTGACACTCTGGTTACCTTCACCATCCTGAGGGCAGAGACACCAACTAACAACAGATGACCCCACCTATTGGATGAGAATGGAAGCAGGAAAGATATTGATCTCCATCCGAAACAATCCCTGTTTCTTCCTTCAAGATTTTGTTTTCCTTCTCCCTCTCTATTCTCCTACCCTCACATGATAAATACCCAACCTGTGTGAAACTAAGTATTTTGCATGTGTTAGGATTTTTAGGACTGGGATGTCTGAATAGTATATTACCATTGTGTTGTATATTCTATTTTGTTTGCTTGTTTTCCCCCACCAATTTCTACTATTTTAACCTTTTTAAAATTTTTCTTATTTTGTGTGTGTGTTTGTTTTATGTACTCTACTGTCTTCCCATTTACTTGTCTACCCAAAATTACTTCCTCTCTCTTCTCCTGCTACTAATCTTCCTCTTTAGATTTCGCTTTCACATTTCCTAAGATATAATAACTCTATATCTTCACCTTCCTCCTCCTCAGCATATCATCCTACTCCTCACCCCCAGTTCTTTGTCCACCATCAGAAACTGTAAACCCTTTTATAAACCTACTGAGTATATTATAGATAATAATTGAATTCACCATTTCTGTACATTGTGACCAAACTGTAAAAGTCTTAATAGCAAACATTTGTTTTTAGGGTGTATATTCTTTATACTGGGATCTGTTAATATTGTCCTTCTCCTCAAAGGAGAGGTATTGGAACCCTACAGGGGCACTATAAGTCTATAGGGTAAAAACAGTAACGCCTCGGATCCACAGTGCTAGAAGACACACAAGCAATATGAAAAGACAAGTGAAGAAAGTGCCCCAAACAGATCAAGGTACCACATTATTAGAATCCACGGCCAGCACAGCAGAAGATATGACAGAGAAGGAGTTCAGGATGTACATAGTTAAAATGTTCTATGAATTAAAAGATAATATAAGAGAGTAAATACAGGCAGCAAAAGATCATTTGGACAAAGAGCTACATAAACAAATACAGGAAGCAAAAGATTAGTTTAGTAGGGAGATAGAGGTTCATAAAAAAAAAAAAAAAAACAAAACAGAAATCCTTGAAATGAAAGAAACAATAAGCCAAATTAAAAGTTCAATTGGAAGACAGGAAGTCAGACAATGAAGACAAAATATATAATCTTTAAAAAAATGTTGACCACACAGTGAAAATGGTAAGGAAAGCATGAGCAGAACATTCAAGAAATATGGGACAGCATAAAAAGACCAAATTTAAGTTAATGGGATAGAGGAAGGCATAGAGTTCTAAACCAAAGGAATAAGCAATCTATTCAATGAAATAATATCAGAACATTTTCCAAACATGAAGAATGAATTGGAAAAACAAATTCAAGAGGCTTACAGGATGTCAGATGAAAAAATTACAACAGATCCATACCAAGGCACATTATAATGAAAATGCCTAACATACAGAATAAGGAGAGAATATTAAAAGCCACGAGAGAAAGGAATCAGATTACATATAGGGGAAAACCAATTAGAATATGCGCAGATTTTTCAACCCAGACCCTGAAAGCTAGAAGATCCTGGAACAACATATATCAAGCTCTGAAAGAAATGGATGCTAACCAAGAATCTTATATCCAGCAAAACTAAGCTTTAGATTTGATGATGAAATAAAAACCTTCCATGATAAACAAAAGTTAAAAGAATTTATAACTCGAAAGCCTGCACTACACAACATCCTCGGCAAAATATTCCATGAAGAGGAATTGAAAAACAATAATGAAAATCAGCAAAGGGAGGTAATACACTAAAGGAAAAACTAATCAAAGGAGAAACCAAGTCAAGTTAAACACCAAACATAAACAAAAATGGCTGGGAATACAAATCATGTCTCAATAATAACCCTAAATGTTAATGACCTAAACTCACCAATCAAAAAACATAGCCTTGCAGATTGGATTTTTTAAAAAAAGACCCAACAATATGCTGCCTCCAAGAGACTCATTTCATAGGAAAAGACCTCCACAGACTGAAGGTGAAAGGTTGGGAAAAATCATACCACTCACATGGATTGTGGAAGCAAGCAGGGGTTTCCATTTTTGTATCAAATAAAGTAGACTTCAAGTCAAAGTTAATCAAAAGGGATAAAGAAGAATATATTAACAAGACATAACAATAATAAATGTATATGCCCCAAACAATGGCGCATCTACATTCATCAAACTCTTCTCAAGTTCAAGAGTCAAACTGACCACAATACTATAATTCTGGGTGACTTTAACACAACTCTTTCACCACCAAACAAAAGCTAAACAAAGGAACTATAGAACTTAGTAATACATCAATAACTTAGACTTAACTGACATATATAGACTATTTCATCATTCAATGAATGAGTATACTTTCTTCTCTGCATAGATCCTTCTCTAAGACAGACCATATATTATGCCACAAAGCAACTCTTTTCATATATATATATATTAATTTAGTTTGACCCAATACCTTTGTTTTATTTATTTATTTTTATGTGGTGCTGAGGATCGAACCCAGTGCCTCATCATGGGAGGCAAGAGTTCTACCACTGAGCTACAATCTCAGCCCCACAAAGCAACTCTTAGCAAATATAAAAAAGTAGAGATATTATCCTGAATTCTTTCAGGTCATAATAGAATGAAATTAGAAATCAATGATAAAATAAAAACTAAAAGCCACTCCAACACCTGGAGACTAAGTAACATGCTACTGAATGAACAATGGGTTGCAAAATACATCAAGGAGGAGATTAAAAAATTCTGAGAGGTGAATGAGAACACAGATACAATGTATTGAAATCTCTGGGACACTATGAAGGCAGTACTAAGAGGAAAGTTCATTGCATGGAGTTCATTCTTTAAAAGAAGACAAAGTCAACAAATAAATGACTTAACATTACATCTCACAATCCTAGAAAAAGAAGAACAAATCAATACCAAAAGCAGTATAAGACAGGAAATAATTAAAATCAGAGCTGAAATCAATGAAACTGAAACAAAAGAAACAATTGAAAAAATTGACAAAACAAAAAGTTGGTTCTTTGAAAAAAATAAATAAAACTGACAAACCCTTAGCCATGCTAATTAAGCAAAGAAAAAACTCATATTACTAACATATGTAATGAAAAATGAAATATCACCACAGACACTACAGAAATACAGAAGATAATTAGAAATAATTTTGAAAACTTATACTCCAATAAAATAGAAAATATCAAAGTCATTGACAAATTTCTAGAGTCATCTGATTTACTCAAATTAAATCAGGATGAAACAAAACTTAAACAGATCAGTTTCAAGTGATGAAATAGAAGATGCCATCAGAAGCCTACCAACCAAGAAAAGCCCAGGAACAGATGGATACACAGCCGAGCTCTACAAGACCTTTAAAGAAGAACTAATACCAATACTCTTCAATTTATTTCAGGAAATAGAAAAAGAGGGAGCACTTCCAAACTCATTCTATAAGGCCAATGTCACCCTGATTCCAAAACCAGGCAAAGACACATCAAAGCAAGAAAACTCCAGATCAATATCTCTAATGAATATGGATGCAAAAATTCTCTATAAAGTTCTGGCAAATCAAATACAAAAACATACTAAAAAGATAGTGCACCACGATCAAGTAAGGTTCATCCAAAGGATGCAAGGTTGTTTGTACAACCATATACATTGGGTCAGATGAAGAAGTTTTAAAGATGTGGTGATGTTTACACAACAATGTGTATATACTTCAAGCCACACTTAAAAATGGCTAAGATGGTAAATTTTATTACAATTAAAAAAAAATCCTCCAATGGCTTAACCCAGGCTGGTAACATACATGAGATCTGAGGTTGGAGGAGGAAAGGCAGTGGTGGTGGGGGACTGCAGAGGATGGGGTCTGCCTACTGCCGCACTGCATCAAATTCATCATTTTTTTAAAAAATTAAAAAAAATTAGCTGTAGATGGACACAATACCTTTATTTTATTTGTTTAGTTTTTAAGGTGGTGCTAAGGATCAAACCCCGTGCCTCATGTGTGTAGGTAAGTGCTCTACCACCGAGCTACAACCCAGCCCATCAAATTCATCATTTTACAGTTTTAGTTACCTCCCACTTTCAACAAAGGCGACAGGCCATGCCTTACTGAGATTCATCCTAATTTAAATGTTCTTCTTTTTTATTATTTATTTTATTTTATTAGCATCCTGTTACTTTGGTTCTTTTTCCACACCCTTGCAACATTTACTGCTGCTCTCAGCCCTAGCCACTTGAGTTCTCTCCTTAGGGTTCAGTGGCTGCTCAGCCAACTGCTGCTGAAGGAGGCTTGAGTGATGGCTTAGAGACAGAAGAGGCAGTAAGAGAAAGATGTAGGCTTTAACAGTGCCCTAGCACCTGAGTGTGGTCACAGATAGGAACAGATCTTTGGGGAGGGTCCATGTGGCAGGAGGAGGTAGTGACCAGGTTTCCTACACACCAATTTAGACATGATGGAACATCAGTCAGAAAAGGGACTGACCCTATGGTAGGTTGGGGAATTACCTGCATTAGGGGATGTTAGCTGATATTATCAGAGAGATGTGGTATAGGGAATGCCCATGCTGAGGCAGCCAGCTCTTACCCTACTACTGCTTCTCTCATAGGCCTTTGTTAGATTATTGTAACCCAGTTTCAGGTTTCTATGTAACCATTAAATATTGACTTAATATTTACAGACAAAGTTCTGAAGCAGTCAGTAATTGCCAGAGATGAATAGTGAGGATACAAAAGTAATACTAACACCTTGTAACTATGAAAGCATTTTATCTCAGCCTCTATAGAAGTAAGTTTTTATCATGCCCTGAGTCAGTCTAAGAACCATGTTCTATACTATCAGATTAATAGGTGGTCTACCAAATTTGAGGCAAAGGTGGCTATTATCTACCCATTAAAAAACATCCCTTATTTGCCATCTCCTGTGTTCAGGGGTCCATAAGAAGAAGGAGAAGCTGCAGGGAAGATAAGTCCATCTAGGGCATACCCCCAGTGACCCACCTCCTCCAGCCATACCCCACAGGCCAATAGTTATCACCTATTCACACAAGGATGGACTGATTAAATCATAGCTCTCACAATCCAATCATCTCTGAACATTCCTGCATTAACAAGGAGCTTTTGGGGGATACCGCATATCTAAACCATAAGAAGTGTTACAGACAGAAGTCTACCTTGACCTGACTAGCTGGGGATAGCAGGTTGGCAGCTGGAAATGCATGCTCCATATGATTGGATTGGGGGTTGCCTAATCTGTTGGCCAGTTTTTGTCAGGTTTTTGTTAAAGTATTGTAAAAGGGTACAATTGAAAATGATTGAAGCACAGGCTGAAAACGAGACATAATAAAGCACACTAGCAAAGCACTCATTCTCCTGGTAGTCATAAAAAATCTTTTCTCAGCAACAAGCCATACATGAATAAGTTCTGTCAACATCACCTGCTATTTCCTTTTCACAGGACACAGTGGGAGAGGAGGTACTTCCAGACTTCCTTACACAAATAGCTGCCCGCCTCAGGTTCTGAATATTAGGCTCTAGAAAGGAGAAATACACACACACCATATTAGCCAATTGATGTTTTCCAGGGTAGAACTAGAGGAATAAAAAACTGTTTTTGGATTTGCTGCATTATGCTTGTCAGATTTTGCAAGTGACTGCCATTTTTTTTTTTCTTTCAGTGCTGGGGATTGAACCCAGGTCCTTTGCACATGCTAGGCAAGCACTCTACTATTCTACCCCAGCACATGAATGATTACATTTTTTAATACAATGGCAACATGAACAGGGAAACCTCTTCCAGAAAAACACTATTCTTCCCCCTCCATGGCTCTGCACACTGGGTCTGAGGGAAAGCCTTTTGCCTTTGTAATCAAAATTCACCATCCACTTCTCCCCAGGGAGACTCCTTCCCAGAGGTTTGAAATTCCCACACTGATGGCTAGGGTTTGGGATTTCCTCTGTATCCTGTGTGATTGTAGGATGTGTGCCTCAGTATATATAATCCCAGAATACAGGCACCTGTAAAGATTCCTAAAACTGTCCAAGAACTTCCCTGTGACTCACTGCTTTGGAGGCACATCCAGGGTGAGGGATTGTGCCTACCAAGACCTTCCCAGCAATGTAGGTTTTCTCCCATCTCTTAAAACCATTCAATGGCTTCCAGCTGCACACTCTTTTCTCTGTCCCCTCTCATCTGTCCTTCTCTTTTCACTCTCTCCTGGCTGTTTCATGCTTCCACTGAATAAGTCTATCCTGGTATACAGCTCTGTCCAACCCAGGATCATTCCCTCTCTCAACCTGAAACACCCATGGCCACAGGTCAACTCAGGCAGAATCACCCTGAACCACCCTGACCACCTACCAGCTCTTCCTGGTCACCATTCCATCAAAGTTAATTGTCCTCCTATCTTCAGTACTGATGAAACGACAGAATCTTACCTGTTTCGTCGGCATCCCAAATGGACTATGAGATCCAGAAGGAGAAGGGCCTGTTTGTCCTATCCCTGGCGCTGAGCTTGGTGGCGGGTCACTAACTGCTGGCTAAATGAATGAATGAGGCAGGAATGTATAGCCTCTTGGGGATAGAGACCCCTGCTATATTACCTACCCTGTTGTCCACAACACTGAACAAGGCCCACGGGTCAGCGGAGTCCAGACGTCCAGAGAGGACAAATAGAACTGGGACAGAAAGGGAGAGAGAGAGGAGCTTGGGGCTGCGAGTGACCCTCAGGCAGCCCTCCAGGCGCTGTCGCTCTGAACCAAGAGTTTGCCAGGTGCGTGAGCCCTGGGAAACCAGGACCCTCCTCCACTCTGGCCCCCGCCTCCAAGGTGCCACCGCTTTGGGAAGGCCCACCTGCAGCCCCCGAAGCCCGCAGCTTACCCTGCACGGCACCCTCTACTCCAACCACGGAGGCTGGTGCCCTTCCCAGGCAGTTCGCGGGGTGCTTCCTAGCTCTCTGGCCCCAGCCAGCGTCACCTCGGCCTCTAACCGCGGAGTGCAACCCCGTGGATCTTGCAAGCCTGGGCCCCGCCCACGTGCACGCTACGTCACCGGATGGGCGGGGCGTCGCGGTGCAGCTGAGCAGGCGCAGGCGCGGTGTGGCGTGGGGCGGGGCGTCGTGGCTTACGTTCTTTGCCGAGATGCCGAGGTTCTGTCAAGGTACGCGTTCCCTTTGCTGTCCGCATCCGCATTGGCTTGGTGCTGCTCCTGAAGCCGTTGAGATACTTCGGTTCCCCAGACTTAATTTTCCCTGCCTCTTCCTGTTGGTGGAGTAGTTAACTGCACCCTCACTACCTTGACCAGCTTGTGGAATGTCTCCTGAATCCCTCCACCTTTAAATTTGCTTTTTAAAGGGAATACGTGCTAGAAAATGCATCCACAACTGAGTAGGCAGTGTGATCGTCTCCTCATTCTTGACCCCATTTTCTGATGTTTTTCTTTTCTTTCTTTCGTTTTGTTTTGATTTTGTTTTTGGTACCAGAGATGGAATCCAGAGTCACTTAACCACTGAGCCATATCCCTAGACCATTTAAAAATATTTTATTTACAGGCAGGATCTCCCCGGGTTGCTTGGGACCTCGCTAAGTTGCTGAGGCTGACTTTGAATTTACAATCTTTCTGGCTCAGCCTCTGGAGCGTTGGGATTACAGGTGTGTGCCACCACGCCTGGCTTTCTGATATATTTCTAGAAGCCACCAAGGTTGCCAGCTTCCGACTCCAGTTGGTCCAGGAATGCTGGTCCTTAGTTTACTTAGGGGCCATGCCCTGTGGTGGGATGTACCCCAATTCGGTCACTTTCTCTTTCTACTAAGCTAGGGACTCTTTCCCAGATTCTTTTGAGGTTGGGCTGCCCGCATGACTGAGCCTGGCCAGTGAGGTGTGGGTGTGCTAGGCCCAGCCCTAAAAGACCTCTCCTTCTCAGGGGGCCCTGGGAGAGCCAAGGAGTACCGATTTTTGCAATATGGAGTGGTCGCAAGTTTACAGTCAAGACAGGACACTTTTGAGAGGGAGTGAGTGCTAACCGTATGGGATGCAGGGGCAACAAGCATAAACCAGTACTGGCAGCCAAGTCATGTAGTAGTTCTGTTCAACCACTGCTAAAGGCCACCCATGAGCACCTCATTGGACCCTGCCCTCCTTTTCCCAGATCAGACCACTGAGCTTACTAGAGCTGTTAGTAAGGTCCATCCTTACTGATGTATCTTAAATGTTTTTTCCCCAGTTGTTTGCTATTATGAACAATGCTACAAGATGCCAAGGGCTATTTTTTTTTTTTAAGCACACTTGTGGACATATCTTTGGGAAAAATTCTTAGAAATGAATTGACTATGGTAAAGGTTGTGCTTTTTTAAAATAAATACTGGATACGTATGGTTAAATTGCCCTTTCAGTTAATTGTACTAATTTACACCCCTACAAATAATGTGTAAGAGTTAATTTCCCTGCAAATTAAAACTACACTGAGATTTCATCTTACTCCAGCCAAAATAGCAACAATCAAGAATACAGGCAATAATAGATGTTGGAGAGGATGTGGGGAAAAGGTAAACTCATACATTGCTGGTGGGAACTGCAAATTAGTGCAATTGCTCTGGAAAGCAATATGGTGATTCCTCAAAAAACTAAGAATGGAACCTCTATTTGACTGGGTTATTTCCCTTGGTACATATCCAACGGTATTAAATCAGCATACTAAAGTGATGCAGCTACATCAATGTATATAGCAGCTCAACTCACAATAGCTAAGCTATGGAACCAAGCGAGGTGCCCTTCAGCAGATGAATAAAGAAAGGTACAATAAAGAAAATATACATATGGATAAAGAAAATGTACAATAAAGAAAATATACATGATGGAATATTACTCAGCCATAAAATTACTTCATGACTTCTGCTGGTAAATGGATGAAACTGGAGACTATCATACTAAGTGAAATAAGCCAGTTCCCAAAAGCCAAAGGTTGAATGTTTTTGCTGAGAGGTAGAAGCTGATCCACATAGTGGGAGGGAAAGAATAGAAATTTAGTAAATTAGTCAAAGGGGAATGAAGGGAAGTGAGGGTAGGATAGGAAAAGGAAAGACAGTTGGAATGAATCTGAAATAATTTTTCTGTGTACATATATGAATACACCATAATGAATCCCACCATATGTACAGCCACAAGATGGGGTCCTAATTAGAATTAGATATATTCCATACATGTATAATTATATCAAAATGGATTATACTGTCATGTATAACTAAAAAGAACTCATAAAAAAGAGTGCATTTCCTCACGTCTTCACCAATGGAATTCTTATAAGCCTTTGTGTCATTGCCAATCCAATGAGTGCAAGACAATATTTCATGGTTTTAATTAATACTTTTTCTAGCATTTTCAAATCCTTGTTCATAAAACTATGATTGCCCCTTTACTGTATGCCTCATTCATAATATTTTTTTATCACTTCTTCCATTTTCACTGTATTTCACTCTTAGAGCTTCTAGATTTTGTCAATTTTGCTGACATGGTGTTTTAATCAGCTTTCTTGCTGTTGCGACTAAAACGACCCAACCACAACAATTGTAGAGGGGAGGAAAAGTTTATTTGAAAGCTCATGGTTTCAGAGATGTTAATACAAAAGACTGACTGGCTGCATTCCTCGGGCTTAAGGCAAGGCTGAACATCATGGCAGGAGAGTGGTATGGCAGACTGTCCTCAAGCAGGGCAATTCTCTGGAATGTCTATAGTAGAATGGAGCTTCAGTTGCCAAGTTGGTAGCCCACATTGAACTTCTTCCTTTTCCTTTCTTGCTTCTCTATTCCTCTACTGGTGTTTCCTGGGGTTACCTCCCAAATAAACTGATTGCATCTACATCCTTTCTCAGAATTTGTTTGGAGAGGAATTTGACTCAAGACACCCATTGCTCATAGGTCATTTTGCTAATACCAGATAAAATATCTTAGTTGCCTTTCTGATTTCTTTCTCTGATTCCCTGAAATCCACAAGCACAAATTACTGCCTTTCTAGCCAAATGCGTTCTTTTGAACTCCCAGAAAAGTCAGATCTTCTCTGCTCATGAATAGTTTTTCATTTTTCCAACATCTGGTTCATACATGAAAGAATGGGAGTGAAACCTCACTTTTGCCCATGGGAACTTTGTATTTATTATTCATACCTGACACATTGGCCATTGTGTAGTCTCTTTTGGCTTCCTGATGGATCATTTGACCAGGCTCACCTTGCATTATAGTAACAATCTGTGGTCAAGAGGGTAATGAAGGTATATCACAGATGAGTAATGTTCTAGGTGATTCATTAAATATTTGAGTAGGGAGAGACTAATGTATATGAATTGTCCTATTGATTTACTTTCCTCCTATCTATAGGCCTTTAGCATTTTATCATTAAGTATGATTTTACCCTCTTTTAGCATTTTATCATTAAGTATGATTTTACCCTTTATCAGATAAAAACTTTGCTTAAAATTAAAGAGTTTAAAAATCATTAATGAATATTGAATTTTATTTTGTGCATTTACTCTGTTGAGATAATCAAGACTTTTCCATTAATTTGTTAATGTGGTAGAATTATATTATTATTATTCTGATGATAATGATGATGATGTACTGAGGATTGAACCCAGGGGTACTCAAATACTGAGCTACATTCCCAGTCCTAAATTTTATTTTTATTTTGAGAGATGGTCTTGCTGATTTGCCCAAGCTGTCCTCGATCTTGTGATGCTCCTGCCTTAGCCTCCCTAGTAGCTGGCATTACTGGTATGTGTCATTAAACCTGGTTTAGCAAATTAAATTCTTTTTTTTTCAAATCAAAGAAAAAATATTTACTTGCATCAGTGATACACATATTCTCTCTTTATATAAGCATTATATGAGGAATCCAGGGAAGGAAGATTTGAGATATGGCAAACATGGTGGCTTCAAGTGAAACATGAAGTCAAAATAAGAGCAGTGAGAGGAATCCCAGGCTGCAGAGATACATGAGTCAAGAGAGAACATATATTCTGAAGACACGGCACAGAGAAGTGTCTTAGGCAGAGTATGAGGAATAGTGAGAGCTGAGAACTGCAAGGTAGATCTTGGAGGGCCAGTCAATTGGTTATAATTATGACATTGGGGCCCAGAGGTTTCCAAGGCCACACACCTGGTGAGCAACACTCTCTCTGCTGTTCTTAAGAGTCTTTGGCAGTGCCCCTAGGGAAGAACTGTGTTCTTAGCTGTAGGGCCAGGAGATAGTTTAATACTACACCAGCTCCTTCCCGGTGTCAGTTGGTTAGGGTGATCAACTGGGTTTCAGTGAGAAGGATGCTCCCACCTCCTATATTGGGAGTCTCAGCAATCTCTTCTACTGAAGGAAGGAACCATAAGAAAGCAGGACTTCTCACCACAGATGAAATCAGGACCAAAGAGGAAAGAGTCTTTTTCAAACATCACTAGAGGCCACCAATCTGCAGTGGGTTTCACATATCCTTTGAAACCAATTGAGTTGAGAGATGTAAATACAGCAGTTTTCATTTCTTGAATTTCAAGTGAATGATGACTGAGTGGGCAAATCAACTTCCAGGTAAAATCTATTTTACATTTGATGCAAGAACATTTTTATAGCATTCTCATGGGTCAAATTTCAGTGTTTGAACAGGAAGCATTCATGATATAAGAATATCAATTCCTTTCCAGGTATTCTATTTTTAGACTGATATTTTTTCAAGTTCTCTCTTTATTGAGTCACAACTGTCCTCTCATAAATTTCAGCACTTGTTCTGAGTTTGGTCTTTTGAGAAAAACAAAGAAAATCTACCAATTTTCATATGAGCAAATTAAATTCTAATGCTGAATCATTCCTGCATTCCTAATACAAGGCATTTTTTTTAAAAAAAATTTAAGTTTGTTTTAATTAGTTATACATGACAGTAGAATGTATTTATGCACTTTGATATATCATACATAGATGGGATATAATTTTATTTTTCTGAG